GCAGAACATGGGTCTTTTATGAGAGGACCATGTCCCTCATGACTTAACTGAGCAGCCTCTCCAAGGGCCTGGGGGTTCCCTTTTGCCAGGTACTGGGCAGAAGTCTGGCCAAGATTGCAAGGAGGATTCTAAGGCTTAAGTCTGACTCAGGGCTTCCCTTCTATTGGGCCAATTTGTGCTCTCAAAATATTAATACTTCTCTCCTATTTTCCATTCTCTTAGTGTCTACCTCCTCTTCCCTAAACACACTCAGATAGATCATTTCAAAGAACAAACGGGATGTCAAATAAGTTGTTTGGAAAACATTTTCTATTCTTGTTCTGAAATTCAAGAATAATTTTGTCATTTTATTTTTAATGAACATTTAAAGGATTATAGTGAAAATATAGTAAAGAATGAAAATCCTCGCCTATTATAAGGCTAAGAAGCTCTTTTGCTACTCCACATATGGTATCACTTCAGCTCTTATATTTAGCCTGAAACAAGGGAAAATTTTAATGATAAATCCTACATCAAAGTGTAGTAATTAATGATATTTTCCCCAAATAGAAATTCTGTGACCTATTGCTATTTCATCTTTTATACAGTAAGACTCATAAATGAAAAGATTGTGATTTTTAATTAGAGAGAGAAAGAATACAGATGTCACAGACATATCTGATAACAGGTAAGGAGGAGACAGAAGCCCAGCAGTGCTAGGACTCAAGCCTATTTTTTTCTTAAAATTATTAAAAATGTATTATAGGATGTATTTGTTTGAAAAATAACTTATGGAAGAAGAATATATATATGTGTATGTATATATATATTTATATACACATACATTTTAATTTCAAAAATTTTCACAGCTGCACTCAGTAAGGTAACTATCAAAGCCTAAAGAATTATTTTAAGAACATCATTGTTCACTGTAGCTCATGATAATCTCCTTTTAAGCCTTATCAATAAATAGGGAATCCCATTTATGTTTACATAACACAGCACATGATGAATTTTAGCTGTAGCATCAGAATTCTACCTTTGCTTTTTGACATTACAAGCACTTCACATACTGATAATACAAGTTAGCTTATACCTACCCTGTAGAAAGAAGAAAAACAAATTGACAAGCCGAATATTTTTTTGTGAAATTCCAAAGTCAGACTGAGGGTTCTGGTTTTAGTTATCTTTGGGACTTTCAAATGGCCATTGGAATTTGACCTATGGTGTCTTAGCTCCAGAAAAACAAGCAAAGTAATCCATGTAACTCTTGAGAATCTGTCAAAAGGATGAAGTTAAGGGAGGAGGAGGAAGAAAGGAAAATAATGACAGACTGTATCTGTCCCAAGTCACCTCCTGGAGTTTAAGTTAAGAAGCTAAAGCCCATTTTATCCATTCTCTGACACAGCAAACAGAGGTACTGCCAGTCAAGATAGATCACAAATGGCATATATTTCATTTTTCATAAAAGCCTGGAACAATCAGCCCTTCCTACTGAGACAGGACTTTTCATCTGGGTAAAAATATAGAGAGATTCGCACACAAAAATATGCTGGATTTCTTACCCAGAAGTGTTCATTATGCTAGACAGTAGGAGAAGATGTCAATTCAAGAGTGGCTTAAGAAACGTCAAAACACCTGACTTTCACTTGTCTTTGAGTTGTCATACACAGGGACCTTTTCTAATTTTATTTTTGACCATTTCTTCTTTTCTTTTTTTTTCCTTTCTTATTTTAAATCAGAGACCTTTTTTGATTAGGTAGTATGATAATATAAAGCAAATTCATTTTAAGGGTCAGTGCCAAGAAAAAGATTTTGTAACTTAAGAAATCATAATAACAGATTGACCTCAATTTCAATCCCACAATGCCTCATTGCATTAATACAGGGAAAAGGCCATGATTTTAGTGCATGTTTGTGAGAAAATACAGAAGATTATATATTTGCTTTTTCTTACTATTAGAGGGAATCTGAAAGGCTCTTAAATGAATTTAGGAACATTTTTTCTTTTAGGAGCAAAAGTATTTAGCTTTGGGTGCTGTATGAATGTTCATTTAATTAATTTCTTTAATCCATCAATAATTTTTTTAGTATATTTTAATTTTCAGGTCCTGTGCTAGGCTCAGGGTATATATGGTGAGAAAAAAAATATTACATAGTTACTCACTCTGATAATTGCCAGCAAGGAAGAAATAAGATACTGTAATAGAAATAATCTTTTTTTTAGACTTTTTTTAAGATAGGGTAGTCAGAGAAGACCTTTCTGAGGCAATGGTGTTTAAGGTGAAAATGAGGAGAGAAGCCAGCCCCACAAAGCAGAGATTTAAAAAAATAAACATGTCCAGAGAGAAGTTACTAAGGAATGAAGTTATTATGCAGCTTCCAAATATTACTGAAGAGGTCAAAAGAAAATGTGTTCTGATTCCACTTTTTTCTGTTTTCTTTGTTCTCTCTTTCTGGAATTTGTCATTTGGATATAGGACATCCTAGGCAATGCTCCAATTTTCTTTTATTTTCTGTGTTGCTTTAGTTTTTGGAGACTTTCTAAACTTTATTTTTAAAAATTCTGTTGAGTCTTTATTTGTGCTCTCTTGTTTTAGTTTCCAAGAGCTCTTTCTTGTTCTCTGGTTGTCCACTGTTTGTCATCCTATTCTTGCTGCATGATGCAATACCTTCTCTTGTCTTTCCAAGGAGGTTAAGAATATTTTTGAAGTTTTCATCTTCCTGCATAATTCCCTCTTAACTCCTTCCTTCCCTCCTCCTTCCATTTTTTCTTTCCTTCCTTCCTTCTTCTTCTTTTTTGTTTTTGCTGTTGTTGTTGTCTTGGTCTTTGCTTTTCCTGTAAGAAGTTTGTCACACTTCATGGCTGACTATGCATATTTACTTTGCGTGTGGGTGGGCTAGGAACAAGCTGATTAGCATGCTCAAGGAGGAAAGAGGGATCTGGCTGGAATCTTAACACTAGAGAATCTTCAGGTCTTTTCTCTCTGGTATTGTTTATATTTCTCACAGACCACTCTCTTTGTGTGCCAGGAGGACATAGGCTCCTTGCCAAAGCTCTGGAGTTAAGTAAAGAAGAAAACTGGAGGTCTTTTCATTTACTATGTAAACTTTTACTTAATCCCTCAACTGATGCAACCCCAGGGCACAGAACTTCTCTTTTACCCTTTTCAGAAATAAATCTATGTTTTCTACTTGGGTTGTCAAAGAGATAGTTGCTCAGCTGGGTAGAGCAGAACAGGGGATCTGGGAATCTAACTGCTTCTCACACTGAATTACAACAGGCACCCTATTTTAGCCTTACCATTACTCCTGTTCTAGTGGCAACTAGTGCCACCATTACTGAGCCTTTGCTTCTATGAGCAGAACTGGTGGCTTTCTGCTTTTCTCACTGTATGCCAAGTAGTTAAATGTCTCAAGTCTTCTGTCATCTACCACTTGTCCATCTGCTTTTCAGTTTCCAAATTCTGTTGCTATACCCTTCTCATTTAAAAAAATCTCATTTTAGCCTTTTTCATGAGGCTTTGGGAGCAAGCAGAATTCAATGGATATATAAAATCTGTCTTTATCCAGAAATTCCACATATGCTTTAAAATTTATTTGTCATATTTCTTATATGCTAAAATATCTTCTGTGATTCACTGACAATGGAAAATTTAACTCTCATTTCTCTTAATCTCTACATAGCAATCAATACTCTTGACCACTCCCTATGTCTTGCATTACTCTCTTCAACTTCTGGACACGACACTCCCCCAGCTCTCCTCTTATCTTCCTACCTACTACTTTTCAGACTCACTTGCTGGCTCTCTCTCCTGCACCCACCGTCAAAAGTAGAAGTTTCTTATGGCACAGTGTTAGGTCCTTTCCTCTTTTTACTTTTTATGCTCTCTCTAGATGATGTCATTCAAGTTCTTTGCCCAAGTGCTAACAATTCATAAATTTGTATCTCCAGTCTAGACCTCATCTCTAAGATCTAGATTGCTGTATGTCATGCTTTACCTGATGCTCCTTAAATGTCTCAAAGGCAAATAAGATTCAAAATGTGTAAAAGGAGAACTTTGGTTCTTACCTCCTCAAACTTGGTCCTCGTTTAGCATTCTGTCTATGTAGTGTCACTACCCACGTACGTAAGCTAAAATCTAGAATTCATCCTGAGCACATTCTTCTCTCACCCTCCATAGGCAATCCCTCTTCAAGTTCTATGGACATAATTTCACATATATGTGCAGTTCATTTGCTTTTCTCCATGTTTTCTGCCAATATTCTCAAACACCAACATCTTTCAGCCAGACAAGTGAACTCATCTCCTCACTCATCTTTCTGATTCCATCCCCCTATATTCTCCACCCTAATCCTCAACTAATTCTTGCATGGTGTTTTGGAAAGACTGTATGAGTTTTCATATCTCTGCCTAAAATATTTGCTGATTTATCTGCATTTAAGAAACAGGCCTAAATCCTTAGCTTTGCTGACAATAGAGTGAAAGGCATGGCCCCTCCCTACCACTCCTGTTCCATCTCACATCATGCCACTCTTTGGTTTCGTACCTTATCCTATTGTCCATCTTCATTTCCCTGAGTGTCACAGGCCTCTCCTGACACAGGGCCTTTGCACATGTTGTCCCCTGTGTTTCCTTCTTCAGACCTCCTTTATCTCTAAGTGCTCAGTGGTCATCTCCTCCAGCTTGAGCTAGGTGTCTCATCTTGTGCTTGTCTCTGTTGTGCTGTATTGGAATTGCTCAGTTACACACTTGTATCCCCATCAGACTAAGAGCTATTTGAACAACCAATGCCTGGTATCTTTGTCTTCTCAGCACAAAGCACAGTCCCTGGCACTTAGTGTTCATAATTATATTTTGGATGAATAAAATAATTCACTTAATATGAAGAAAAGTAAATTACCAGTGACAAAAAGGAATCAATACTTTTCTAATACATGAGGAAATAAGTATGATGCTCAAGAAAAGTATTTTTCAAAGAAGAGATTTTTATAGAAAATAAATATCAACATTTTCTTACTTTCTTTGTTTTGCCCATTGCCTTCAGGATGGAAAGATTTAGGTCTTCAAGTGCTGCTAGGACATTCTCATACTCGCCCAAGTGCTGAGAAAAATATTCTGAAAAGTGAAAATAATGAAATAAATTCATGTTTGAGTTTAGGCAATCATAAAACAAAAAAATCAACTGATGATTTATTCCATAAATAAGTAAAACAAATAAAATGTCAGCTATAAATGAAAACTGGAAGGTTTTCAAATGAGACTAAGGTGCCAATCTGCTCATTTCATTAAATAGAAAAAGAAAGAGAAACCTGGATGGTTAGTTACCATTATATCTTTGAGGAAATGTGCTTTCCTACAAAAATAAGAAAAAAATAAATAAATTTGGATCAACAAGACTGTTTCAATAAAAAAAGAATTGTTCTCGATGACATATTATTATAGATCTCACCAGCACAGTGATTTGGAAAAAAATTAAGTTCTATTTTACTGTTTCTTCCAGGAAACATTTAAGGAAGGTAAGCACTCTTCAAGGTTACAAGTCAGTGAGTCTGCAAAACACAAGTGAGGTATCCTATGGTACCTTTTATATAACTGCTCCTGTCATGGTCTAATTTTTTTTCAATAATTTGGGCAGAGTAAATGTCATGCCTATCATGTTGTTTTTAGTTGCTAGGAATAAATATGGATATTACGCTTAAAATGAAAAGTATAGAACATGGACTGATCCTAAACTAGTAAAGTGAAATATAACAGAGATAAATGCAAAGTCTCATATTTACTTACAGAAATCTGTAGATTTCTATAATGAGAGCAATCTAGCCTAACAGAAATTTATATATTGAAAAGATATAGGACTTTCAGGTACTAAAACATCAATAGTCCTCACCATTCCTGTGAACTCATCTTTGGATGAACTAGAGTTTATTATTGTCTCTCCTTAATGTGCCATAAGTACTTGTAGAATTCAACTGAAATATAATCACATGTAAAATATAATCACATGTAAGCCACTTGAGATCACTGGGATACACTTCAGTATGTTTGATGGCAACTGCCTTGATTAATTTCTTTAATACTCCAGATGGAATTATTTGTTGACATTGATATTAATAACAAATGGAAAGTACCAGTGACTTATTTATTAGTCAATGTGCAGACTTTTTCTGGAAGAAAGAAAACACAGGTGAGCAATAAATCAATTCTAAATCATGGTTGTCAAAATACAGTCTGTGTACACACCGATTAAAAACAAGTGACATATTTTTAACAAAAAGCAAAATGCATTCCTTACCAATAGTGGTACAACTCATCTCTCATAAAGATTGCTTAGGAAGGAATTATTTTTGGAAGACAAATAGAAAGTAGATACTCCTTAAATACTTGCTTCAAAATAACATTTTAATCCTCGGTTATGATGTTGACTTTCTGATAGGGTTGACAAAGATTTCTGACCTTGTCTGTACAATTATTTGTAATAAACAAAGTCCCTGTGAACAACATTCTTCATCAGCCAGCAAGCAATGTGGCTGTAGAATATTCATAAGTTGGAAAAATAATCAACATCATAATTGAGTTCATACTAAGTTGAAGCAAAAAATGTAATAAAAATGCAAAAAACTAAAGTTGTTTAGTTTTGTTTTTATACCTATACAAAGCCTCAAGGAAGATTGTAATAAGGGTTTTAAATGCAAGTAGACAGAAAGATATAAAGCGGAAACAAAAGAAATTTGGTGCTAAAAAATAAAAGCAGGTTTATTTAAAAAAGAAAAACAAGAGGTAAAGCCACCTTTTAAAATAAATACTTCATTCATAAACAATATATTTGGCTTAATCAGTAAGGTTCCTGGAGAGAATTTAAGTTGTCTTTTCCATTTTGAAATAGGATCTATGCAGGTACCTGCTGATAAAGCACATGGGAAAAACAATGACTAGAGGCTTCAGAGCTGACACCTATCCTGCCTTCATTCATTCTTTCTTTCCTTCATTTATCCATTTGTTCATCTCAACTCTCTAATATGAAAACAAATCACTAGATAGCCAAGAAAATGACTGAGAAGGGAGAGAATTATAATACCCAAGCCCTGGATAGGAGCTTAAGTTGGAAATCTAAGTGTAAGGGTTATTTCCAGATGATATAGCTAAGTGTCATGAAAGCTCTTTTATAACTTACTCATTGAGAGACGTGTGTCAGGCAGCCAAGGCAAGTAAGCTCCAAAAATCTCAAAGAAGGAAGTTAGAAGAAAAAGACAGAGACAGCTAACATAGACGAAAGGAGATAATTTGCCTCTACCTCATCCTGCTGAGTGTTCATTTACTCATTCTATGACCTAAAATACATTTCTGCAGTGCCTTTCATATGTCAGCTGCTATAGCAGAAGCTTGGAATGCAAAGATGAAAAGACAGAACCTCTATCTTTAAAGAACCTGCAATCAGGTAGGGAAGATAAACATTCCAACAAACAAACAACTCCAGTACACATGATCATTGTTTAAGAGCCCAGGTACAAGGTGCAATCCAAATACAGAGCAAAGAATGCCCAAGTCTGTCTGGATAAGTCAGAGAGAATTTCACAGAAGAGACACCACCAATGGTTTGGTTAACAGACAACTAAGACTTAATGTGCTGGATAATCAGAGGGAAGGCATGGAAGCAGGTAATAACTTGTGTTTGCAGGAATATGTGTAGCTTAGCATTGCTAGGACATAAAGGACAGGGCATGGAAATATTTGAGGATGGGAGGCAGCAAGGAAGTAAAATGCTAAAAATCAGTGGTGAGAGAGGAAGCTAGATGTGTTAGAAACATTCCATGCTAGGTGCTCTGACTTTTATCCTCAAGTCCGTGTTTTTGACTATCAGAGTGAGAATCCTCTAGTGCCTCCCTATTCAAAGTGTGGTTTGTGGTCCAGCAACCTCAGTTTCATGTGGGAACTGGTTAGAATGCAGCATCTCAGGCCCACCTCAGATCAGTCGATCACAATCTGCTTTTTAATAAGCCCCTCAGGTTATCTGCAGACACATTTAAGCTTGAGAAGCACTGCTCTAGGGTACTTGTTTGAAAGGAAGATTAGTGAGAAGCTCTCATCTACTAAATCAGAATCTTTGGGTTCCCTAGGAGATTATGATACAGATTACATTGGAGACCACAATGGGCAATGGGAAGCCATGGAACAAGTTTGAAAAGGTGAGTGACATCCTAACATTTTCCTATTAGAAAGGTTACCCTGAATGCACTGGGGGGGGAGGGGTAGAGATGATAAGAGAAATGTTGGTGAGACCATCAGGAGAGACAAGGGCAGAATCAATTTCCTGGAATGATTTCATCACAGAATAAGGACCATGGGTCATGCCAAAGCTGTAAAATGAAAGGAGGATCGGAGTCTAGAATTTCAGCAGTATATATACAAGCTCCAAGATGAGACAAGCAGGGAGGCAAGGTCAGTGATGGCTTTGGAAGTGGCTGAGCTTAGACTAATATTTTAGGGTGAGCTTAGACTAACTGTTAGGGTGAATCAAGTTTCTCATTTGAATCACAATGCCAGTGTGAGCTGGGCAAATGTGTTTTGTTCTTAAATCATGGCACAAAAGAGAGAGAGCAATTCAGAATGAATATTAGTTCCTTACAATGCTTGTCCTTTGGTAACTGGAATAACTTCCTGGAGAAAAGACCTACTTTTATTGAAATTCACATGTGGGTTCCGTGGACTTGAGTAAAATAGAGTTGTATCATATTTATGGAAATATGTGAGACCTACTCTTCATCAGTTTAAGTGAAAAATCTTTGAAAAGTAAAGAGTCTAGACATTGTATATACGGAAAGAGTACAGCACAATTTATAAGCAGATGTATTAATGTTATCTGTCAGAAAGCAAATTATTTTCTCATGGATATTGAACACGTCATCTTCTCTAATAAAATGCCAACAGATAGGTTAGGTTCTTTCTTTCCTACTGTATTTAATCAGTAGTGTTGTATCACCAAAACTACTGTTTTTTGTTTTGTTTTGTTTTTCCTATTCTTCACCTCAATCCTCCAAGTTGTTGCATTTTCAGGTCTAGCCTAAGAATTCAAAATCAGAACCAAAGGACCCAGAGCTGCCACAGAGGTCTCCCCCGAACTGGTGTCATGAAGCATTCTTATGAGTTTAGATGCATCTCACAGTATGTACTTTGTTAGAACTTCTCAAGCAGTAGACTAGGTAGGAAAGAAAATGAGATGAGAAAGAGAGCTGAAACCCCCATATTCTCAATAAGGAGGTCAATTAGAAGTTTAGAAATATGAGTTATTTTGAGGACGTACAGATCAGTGTCACTCAAACAGTTTATAACTCAGTCACTGAGTGACATGTGCCAGGTAGCCAGGGCTCTAAGGACCTGGAAGAGGACATACAGGCTTCTGACTTTCCAGCACCCAGACATGCTGGCACAGGTCCCTCAGCACTGCCCAGGCTGTGGCAATGCAAGCTGGTGCTGCTCTGAGTCTGCCCACGGTGCCTAATGCACAGCTACTCAATGGAACCTGTGTATGAAGCTCATAAGCTTTTATTCTGGGAGTTTCCCATACCCTCAGTTTTTATCCATTGTATTTATAGACTTCATCTAACTTAACTTTGAACTTATTAAAATAGTTTAATATTTGGTAACCATTTGGATGAGAAATTACACTATTAAATATATTCCACCTTGCTCACAAAGCTTTCTTACAAATAAGCTTTCAGATCAAGCACTCTTGCTACATGAACTTTCATTGCAATTATCCTTCAACCATCTATAAATATCTCAAAATTCTTACCCACCAAGTTCAGGATTTGTAAAATAGTTCAGTAAAAATAAGTAAGGTTATGAAAACAGTCATAGACTAGGTAAGGTCAGGAAAGTAATAATTATGCTCCTGATCATTTCAAATCGGAGCTAAAGATGGCATGCATACAAAAAGCAAAGCCTCGATGCTAGAGTTCAAACGTAATTGCCTAATTAAAACCGACTCATATATTGACTGATAGGGATAAAATATGGCCGAAAGTTGCATTGAGGAAGGCCTTCACAATTATATGTGAAGAGTGAATAATTTGGGCACTCCTATAAGCTGCATTTCAGGCAGTTAACAGTGGAGTTCAGTATCAGGGGAAGAGAATGAGAGAGAGAAACTTGACATTTTAGCTTATACACCTACATAATTCTGTATTGTTAAATTTTTTAAAAAAGCACTTGTGTAGTACTTTCATAATTAAAATTACAATTTTTTTTTGAGACAGATTCTCGCTCTGTTGCCCAGGCTAGAGTACAGTGGCATCAGCCTAGCTCACAGCAACCTCAAACTCCTGGGCTCAGGCCATCCTCCTACCTCAGCTTCCCAAGTAGCTAGGACTACACCTAGCACCTAGATGTGCACCAAGATGCCTGGATAATTTTTTTCTATTTTTTTAGTAGAAACAGGGTCTTGCTCTGACTCAGGCTGGTCTTGAACTTCTGAGCTCAATCCCATTCTCCCGCCTTGGCCTTCCAGAGTGCTAGGATTACAGATGTGATCCTTCATGCCCAGCCACAAAGATTAATAGATTTTAAATTCCAAAAATTTAATAGATTTCCAGGTCCATAACATAGTATACTGATGAATTAAGTAAAAGCAGCAGAATGAAAGTTTTAGACACCTGAAACTTTTAATTATCTTCTAGAAGAGAGTACATGAAATCTACTTTCCATGCCAATCAAGTTCTGCCCCTCCCACACACAAGGGGGAATTTGTGGGGGTGTGAATAGACATATTTCACTTGCTCGCACTGAAGCATTTGGCTTTGATTAGAATTCAACTTAAATATTTACTTTATATTCACAAAATAATGAGAAATGAAACTGCACTCTAGAGATTAAAATGCATATTCTTGAACAGAGAGGGGGAGGATTATAACACATGATTGGGAATACAATCACTGGATTTAAAAAATACAGAACAATTCTGTTGAATTAAAAACCCCATATACTAGTGCTCCAACTAAAACTGTGGAGGGAAGTCATAATCAAAGCTTTTTCAATAAATTCAAGATAATTACCTAATCTAGTTCCCTTATGATAGAAGAAAGACAAATTCACAACCTAATTATTTTTTTTGTAGAGAAGTGGACACTATCATACTTTAAAATTTTAAGTATTTTTAAGGGAAGATAGAGGATAACACAATATTCCTTAATGATAAGAGACAAGTGACACAGCAAATAAAGGGCCACTAAGTGTTTTTATCTTAAAAGCCCTTATATCAGTTTGCTTTCTCATCAGCAGTGCCTACACAGTCAAAGTTAAGTGAAAAACAAAAGAAAATTATCTGAATGACTTGAGAATGATTACTTTGGCCTGACATGTGGACATCTGAGGCAAATGGGTCTCCCACCTTCATGAAACTACCAAGATAATCTCAATTCTCTACTTCATCTCTCTGTTTCACTGGCAGGACTCTCTACACATGGATGAGAGTGAACCCAACTTGAACTTTATGGAGATTGCTATTCATCATAAGCCTCATGGCAATGGTCCACGTGGGCCCTTTGGGGCACTTAGCACAGTGACAGCCATGTGTGGATGGTGCCATCGCTTAATAGTGTCTGAAAGCACACAAGGATTTTCCCTGTTTTTCTCTGCTGGTGTTTCATAACTAACAAAAGCATGACTTGCTTTGGTACCTAAGTACCTTGCTTCTGCATAAATATATTCTGCTTTTCAGTTGGGTTTTTCTTCTGGAACCTGGGAGGGATATTACACAGGGACAGGAAGCACACAGTTTTGTGTGACCACTGGAAAAGCTGAAAGCTCATGATTAGTGATTATACTCATTTTATTTAGAGTTATTGCCTTGAAACCCTGTATTCTGATATTTTGTCTGGCATGGTATCTCCTGGCGTCGCTTCACCACTTAGATGAAATGGAAGATAACCACTCTTGAATGTCATCAAATGGCCTTTTTGATGGTTTTAGTAAACTCTAAAACTGTAAGAATTACGAGATGTTCAGGAAGTGTTTGTAGTTTCAATTAGGAGTTCCAGAGAAACTCACCTCTAACCATCAAAAGCTGTTTTGAGCAGCTTAGATAATAAGATCAAACTTGGAAAAAGGTATTGCCTTGTATACTTATCTTAAAACATAAAACTTAAAACCTTCCAGTATTCAGAGAAATATAGCTGTTTCAAATTAAATAGTTTCAGAATGCTCCATTTTTTTCATAAAAATAATGAATTTCAGAAATTTTACCTTTTCTTATTTCTAAGCTTTGATTTTTGCCAAAGATTTGACTTTACAAAGATGAAGAAAACAAATGAAGAAGCAATTAAACCAGGCATTTGTACAGATTTATCTCTCTCCATTGAATCACTTGTTTTGCAAGTGACATTTAAAACTCCAGAATAGTTCAGGCAGGTATGAGACAAAGTTATTTTTACATTTCAAGGAGACAGCTTTGCAAAACAGTAACAAAAGGCTCTGCACAACATATTGTGAAGAGAATAATGAGGTTGTATTAAACACCAATTTAAACATATATTCAAACTGGTGGAGAATTTGCTCTTGTGAAACTAATGTACTGATTGTGATAACAATTTTCCTTCCATGAACAAATTAATGAGGCCCAACTCTTTCTGCTGTGAAATACATGCTTGAGTAAAATTCATGGATAAAGATAAGTCTCTCGAGATTTTTCTTTTACTTTATTTCAGAACTCCTAATTTATACCATTTATTCTAAGAAATATAGGAATATAACAGATAATATTTTTTTCTTCTAAAACAAGTAATGAGTTTGACAGATCTTAAAGAAACTTACCACATAGTTCTTCTGTGTCAAGATTGCTGGAAAGATAAGAAAAATAGTATTATTATTTTGGTAATATTTTTCATTTAAGTTTTTTAATAGTTCAATACAGTTAATCACCTATATGTTATTATTAAATATATTGATAGATGGTATGTAATTTTGATAGTTCTCTTATATTACAAATTCTACATTGTTTAAATAGTCTTAGGTTATTAACAATGATTATATCATATTCTTTCTTTGAACAAATAATTCCTAAGATTTGTGTTTCCCTCTGGAACACACTGGGGAATAATGCATATTGGTAAAGGGTATAGGCTCTGGAGCCAGAATTCAAATCCTGATTCTACAATTTACCTTCTATGTGACCTGGGTATTTGACAACTCTGTGGCTTAGTTCCTTTGCCCCAAGATGGGGATAATAAGAATTTCTGCTTCATAGGAATGCTGAATGATATAAATGAATACATATAAAGCACTTAAAAGAGTACCTGACATAAAATAAGCACTTAATAAATGTTAGCCATCATGATTTCTGACTTGACAAAACTGCTAGAATTTTCATACCTAAATGCAGTGTATTTGGGGTCAGTTTGATTCAATGCTTATTTCAAATGATTTCTAAAACAAAATAAAAAATTACATTAGTTATAAACAATGGAAACACGTCTGGCAGTTTGGACCTGGCACTCAATTTTACGAAAAGCTCAATGTTGACATTCTTAGTATGACATTGACACGCATACACAATTTGGCACTATTCATTTACGACCCTTAGGGGCAGTTGAAGTTGTTTTGAATTTATTCTTCTGTATTGGGCACCCTTAAGTTATAATGAATCAAATTCCTAGCCAAAGAAGTATGTTTACTGCTCAGAAAAAAAAGAGAAAATATTTGGGGTATACAGTCTGATTTCTGTAGGGAATTCAGAATCTTTCTAATACCCTTCTTATATGCCAGTTCTCAATTCTAGGATATTATATCAAAACAATCTTATGTTCAGGTTAATATTCCTAGTTATTTCTTTGAATTGTTTTTCTACAAATTTAGCTACCTTTACCATTTCAATTTATTATAAGAACAAAAGATTGTGGATTTCTTACCAAAAATCTACAATTCTAAACTCCCTTTTTGTTTCACCTGATTATATTCAAATTTATTTTTAGCTACCTCTTCTTCAAAACTAAAATTTCCATACTGTGGATCTTATTAGGAATCCTTAAAGTCCAAGTTCTAGCTTATATTTTACAGAGATTCCTGTCCTGAATATTACTGGTGCAAAAAAAATTTTTTTTTCAGTTCGCAAAACAGTGTGCTAAACATTGCTAAACTCCTTAATTGCCTGAAACAGTTAGTTTTGGCATATAGATAATTACAACAGTATTTGAGGCAAAGAGAATCTGACTCAAAAAGCAACATACTCAGTTACTGTGATGATAGTGTAGTGATGCACATGTTGGTTTGTTGGCAGACTGGCAGACTAGCTAAGTAACATACATGCTGAGCCATCATTGTGATCTTTATTTTACAAAGTAATATCATGAACTCCTAATTCATAAAGATAATTTGAGCAGAATATCTTTCCATTCTTATCAGGACAAATGTGTTGAGCTAGTCTTAGCATACCAAAGGAAACAGCATTAATGAAAATCATCAGAAGCAATACTGGGAAATTAGAAGAGTGATAAAGTGCCTGACTTTGAAAATACTTTTGAATCATATTTAACTAATTCTTTGAACTATATTTGCTATTGGTCATGCAAGTGTCAGGTTAACAGCAGACGGACAGGGCAGACTGTGACCTAGAATTAGCTGTGTCCCCTGCAATAGATCAGATGCTACAGAAACCAACTAAGCTGAGTTGAGCTCTGTGAGCTGGGCAAACCTAACCTACAGGAATGTGGTGGCATAATAGAAGTGGCCAAAGGGATATCAAGAACACACAGATGCTATTCAAATATCCCAGCAGGCTGGGGCCAATTGTTTCAGTGACCAGAGTCCTGAGCCCATAGCCAAACACTGGGCCCGACCATGAACACAGGCCTTGCTTCTAGACGAACAGGGATACCTAAATGGGTTATTAAATAGGAGCTCAAACCACATACTTAAACCAGAAAACCAGAACCAGGGTAGAAGTGGAGATTGGTTCTTATAATCAATCATAATAAGTACTCGGTTGTCAGAATCACTATGATATGCGAGGCAAGGCTGCCAACGTAGTATGACATGATGTTGAGTCCCAGAATATAAGTGAACACGGATAAAAGTTCTGTAACTCCTTTCTGTTGAAGACTATAATTATTCCTAGAACGCAGAGTGGGTCACAGCCAAATGGCCCTAAGTATATAGACATGAGGGCTACAGGGACGTGTATGAGGCAGCATTTGGCTTGAAAAGTGTACTGTAGATTGTACAGAGATCACCACACACTCCTCCCTGAGGAAGGAGGCTGCAGGAGTCCAGTCTATAGGGAGTCCCATAAGCAAGAGTCTGAAACTCTCTAATATTGAGGCAAATTAGGGTCAAACTATTTTCACACATAAACACGACGTGTCACATATTAGAGACAAAACAGAATTGGAAAAACATGTCATCCTATTTTTCTCAAGCTGCTGGAGGATTTTTCTTTTTCCTGATTGTCTTCCTTCTTATGTCTTCTACCTCCTGCCATGTTTCTTACCTGCTGGATTTCTTGCTCATTCTGCTCATTCTTTCTTCCATTCTTCTGTAACATCAGCCCCCATCTTTGGGGAACTTGCCATTAACTATATGTTTCCCATGGGGACCTTGATTAGAGAACCCCATTTCCATCCTATCTCAACCCAACTTTCCCTGGCTATGGCATGTGCATCAGAGTATTTTCTTCTCCCTTTGGCCCAAAGTTGAGCATGGTGCGTAAGTAGGGCCATGAGAGTACTCCTTTGAGATTTTATGCATGCTCTCTAAGAGGAGGGCCCTCTCTTCCCCCTGAAGCAGCTAGGGTAAGATGACACACGCCTTGCTCTATGTAAAGCCATTGCACTCCCCTCCACCAAATAGCAGAGTCCCATCTGCTGTATAACAGTATAGAACAATTCTGGGAGAGAACTGATAGGAGAGAGGGGTGGGAGAAGGAGTGGGAGAGCATAAATAAGTAAATAAGTATGAGGATCCCAAATCCCTGGAATCCCCATGACAAGCTTTACACCAAGAGTCTCCAGTATGCAAGTCAATGGGTTCTTTTTGCTTAAGCTATTTGGAGTTGGGTTCTTTAACATGTGGCTTAGGAGAAGGCTGACTTAAACAGAGAATTCACAACCAGTGATAGCTCTGCCAAGGGACAAATTAATCTTCCCTTCACATGGGGCTTAAATTTGGGGTCTTTTACTCTGTTCAGCTGTGACTATTGTAGAGTTGTTTAGCTCATTTCCTCCCTCCCTTTTCCTGCCCTCCCTTCTTCTCGCCTTCCCTTTTTCCTTTCCTTTCCTTCCTCCTTTTCTCCACCAAAGAGTTGTTCCTTATCTAGCTCCTTCTCCATCTGAAACTCTTTAAGAGCCTCATGAATGTTCTCCAGAGCAGTGCTTCTTGGACTCTGTGGTAAAGAAGGAGATTTTTAAATTTCTAATTCATGCCAGACCGATATTTTTGTAGAAAACTATGGAAATGAATTACACAATCATGTGCTTGGATGTTGTAGTGATGTCAACTTGCTATAAAAATTTCTAAATAACTCAAGTTTTCTTCTTACCTCAACAAGGACAAGTAACAGTCTGAGGACCGGCATTAGTCTGTGACCCACACTTTGAGTCCCAGCAATATAGGGAGCTGCTAGAGTTCAAGTGAGTTTTAAGGCTTCTGTTTTAATTTTCAGAACTTATTTTTAAGAAATGTGGCTTGTATCAGAAATACCAGCACTGCATGGAATAAAAATTGAGTTCCACTTCTTGGTTTTGCCATGAATAATTTGTCTCCATTGTCTAATCTCTTAAAATAATTGGATTTTAGAAAAGCTCAATTTTAACTGAAAAAAAGGCCTATGATTCTAGATCTTAATGACTTAGCAAATAATGTCAAGAAAGTATTAAATGTATTAATACTGTCTCATCTTGTTATCTATGACTTAATAGAATTTCTATATAAAATGGTCTGTCGTGGCATCATATAAAATGGTTTCACTAATAAGCGGGTTCCACAAAATGAGTGGGTTTAAGAGTTAAGCCTCAGAAAACCCACACACATATTTTTATAAATATACAAAAGCATCAGAAAATTGTCCTAATTTAAGAAAGCTTGATATGACTAGGAATGTCTAAATCTTTTCAAAAATTAAAAAGAAGTCAGAGAAATAAAAAGGTTACTTTAGAAAGTAGGAAGAATGATGGGTTTGAGGTATGTTTATACTTTTCTTTTTATGCAATGAAAAACTATTATGCATAATTCTGAATCTAACATGCCTCATAAAATGCATGATCTTTCTTTCTACTAATATTTCTAAAACTCAATTTTCTGGGCTTATTTCAAACATCAGACTGCCTTTGAGAATTTAATCTTTGTCATCAAGCAGACAATATAAGAAAGGCAGAAACATTCCAGAAAATTATTCAATATAGTGGAGAAAGATGGTTTTGGGACTAAGAAATGAATTCTTCCTTTATTTCCCCCTTAAAATCAGTATTGTGTTTTCACCAAAAGCCATTCAAGTGTTTGAGATGGACACATAGGGAAAATACATTTTTTCCAAAGTTTACATATACTGATGTTATTGAAAAGGGCTGAGATTGCAAAAATTAAGCACTACATTAAGCATTATATATAGTAAAATTAAGCATTAAGTTAAAAATGCAAAATGTTAATTGTAAGTGAAAGAGGAGGAAGGTTATTGTGGAGAACCAAGATATGTGGTATCTATTTCAACTATCCTGTGTACTAATAGCAAGTTCTCTGATACTATGAATTCTGTGTGTGAGTTGGAAAAGGGGAAGTAAGAGAAATACTTGGTAAAAACATTTTAGACTTCACATGTGCTTTATATATCCAACATTAAATAGAATCCCTT